TATTGAAACACATTCCACGAAGTGGTGAACGGAGACTTTTTCTACCTAGTGTATGTATATGAACGTAAAAGTCATATAAAAAGTATCAATTAGGAAACAATTACTAACATTTAAATTAAAGGGTGACACTGTGATTCATTTTAATAAATTTGATTAAAGAATTAATGGCATCGGGAGCAAAAATTGAGAAGGTGGAGAAAGTGTCACTCTTAATTTTAACTTTACCATCTACCAATGATGGAGTTGTAACTGATATCTTTGTCCGTTGAAAACTTGACTCTGGCATTTGTTAAAAATATCTGGATCACGAAAATAAACTTAAAAATTAAAATGAAATGTTGAGGCAAAATATGAATAAAAGGAATTACAATGGGTTATCATTCATTATGGATTCTGGAGCATCAGACCATATGATAAATAACACAAACCAATTATGTCATTCTCGAGTCATCAATTGAGATTGCAATCGCAAAACAAGGAATACATACATGCCACTGCAATTTGAAGATTACGATTTCGCAGTAATATACCGTGTAATCTGCCATCGGTATCAAAAATGCAGGATGCAGGTATGAAAATCGAATTCCGATCAGAAGGTGTAAAAGTCACAAAGAATGAGAAAGAAGTTCTTGAAGGTACATACACCCGAAAAATTACCCGTACACATCAACATGAAAACAATAAACTGAGAAATTTGTGATCAAATAATTTATTATGTATAATAATAGTATATATTGTAAAAGTTTTATTTAGTATTTTTACTACACTTTCTTATGGAATATTTTAGACATACACTTAAAAAAAATTTCCCGGAACATAAACAAAAAAAGCTCACATAATGAAACAGAAAAATTATTCGTACATTTTGATATTAATCAAATATAATTGAATTATTTTGGGAAAATTCAATATCCTAGTAAGGATCCTAGGTGGGGTAGCCCTTACGTTTTAGGCCCTCGGCAAGTCGATGTGGCATTGAATGAACTAGTTTAGATGTGTCATGATTTGTAATTTTGGCCCATTCATCCATGATCACATTTTTAAGCATTTCTCTGGAGGTTATAGTTTGTTGGCACATTCTGCGCTCCAGTAAGCGAGTGTATGTGTAAATCTAATGTATGTATCTATTATTAAATTCAAATTAAATCATAAAGGTTATGCAACTAAACTAATAGTGAATTATCGTTTGTGACATGAGAGATTGGGACACATTAGCAGAGGGGAGTTTCTAGAAATTGTGCGGAGCAATATGTTTAGAGATGTAGAACTTTTAAAAAATGTTGAAATAAATAACGAACTTTGTGAAACATGTATAAAAGGTAAACAAACTCGAATTCCGTTTGAAAATTTTTAAAATAAAGAGTGTATTAAGAACCCATTATTAGTTGTTCACTCTGCTATTTGTGGTCCAATAACTCCTTCTAGTGTTGATGGGAAAAATTAATGTGTAATTTTTGTCGATCAATTTACACATTATTGTGTAACTTATTTAATAACTTATAAATCTCACGTACTTTCAAATTTTAATAATGTTATGTCAAAAAGCAAAGTTTATTTTACTTTAAGGTTGTAAATATCTACATTGATAATGGTAGAGAATATTCATCCAATGAAATGCGAGGTTATCGTTTTGGAAAAGGCATATAACAAAAAGCCTAATTAAATATTTTTAAAAATATTTGGTTCCACAGTATACATATGTGCATAATAAAATGAGAAAGCGAAAGCTTGATGGTAAATCAATAAAATCTGTACTCGTTGGGTATGAACCAAATAGCAATAAGTTATGGGATGTGAATTTAAATAAATTTATAGTAGCAAAGATGTTGTTGTGGATGAAAAAAATCTGGAAAACTCTAGGACTGTGGTAAGTGACTCAAAGTTCCAAAATAATAATGTTTAAATAGATAAACAATGTATTGGGGATCACACACCACTGACTTAGAATTCAATTCGCTTTATTTTAAAGGAAAACTCCGTGTCTCGATATATAATAAGTTTTGATTTATTCCGTAATACAAGAACAATGTCTTTCGATTTTAACGATATTAAAAAAATATAAAATAGTTATGTCGACGGGCGGAGCGTTGTGGATCGAATCGCATGTACGTAACGCCCAAGATCGCTGTTGTCGACCAAACGAAAAAAGCAGCAAACAGTAACCATGTTGATTGAAGCGCATAATCTAATGGGTTTGCGAAGTGATGTCGATCGCAGTAATCATATGTCCGTAGTGCACGTAATCGGTGGCCTGTTGAAAGTTGAGTCATCGAGTGTGGTTTTGCGAAAGATACCGGCTCTCCTGTTGTCCATCCTTATTTTTGAGTGAAGTAGTGTACAGGTACGGGATATTGTGTTGTGTGCGATTGTGGTGTCATCGACTACGGTGTTTTCCAATTTGTAGTGTATTGGTGAATGTGATGGGCAGTATTAGGGTTCGCCAGTTTTTACCGAGTAAAGTGGTGTGTTTAGTTACTGAGGCTTAGCTCATTTAAACAAATAGTATGGAACAGGTAGAAAATAGTCTGAATGATGGTATGGATAGTCTACACTATATGTATATATGTAATCAAATTTAAATTCAGAGTCGAACGATTCAAATTTCCCGAACGAGAGTACGAAAAAAAAAATATGATAATTTAAATTATATAAACAGCCTAGTGATACAACAGCATTGAAAAATACTGATCCAATTATAATTATTGGTGAAAAATTGCCAACCACACAAATAAATAATAAGGAAAGTGAAGTTAGAAGAAATGAAAGGGTATAATATATATTTTTGAATAATTGTTTAATGAATGCGCACATTTTTCACAACACACACAAGAATAACCTATATATTATGATGAAACATTCGCTCCAGTTGCAAGAATATCTTCCGATTTATTTTATCTATAGCAAACCATTTTAATCTTAAAGTTCACCATATGCATGTAAAAACTGAATTCCTGAAAGGTGTTCTAAGAGGAAATCTATGTCAAAATTTTAGAAGGATTATCACATCCAATTAACAAAGTATGTAAATTAAATAAATCACTTTACGGGTTGAAGCAGGCGGCTCGATGTTGGTTTGAGGATTTTTGGAAAGCATTAAAAAAAATGGGATTCCTTAATTCAGCTGTAGATTGATGCATTTACCTTCTTGACCATGGAAATAAATACATTTATGTGCTTTGGTATGTATATGATTTGTTAATTACAACTGAAAACAAAATCACTATGAATAAGTTTAAGTCACACCTTATGGGGAATGACAGATTTATTAAAAATAAAATACTTTATTGGAATAAAAGTAGAGAGATAAGAAGATAAATTATATCTAAGACAGTCAACGTATATTAACAACGTTCTGAATAAATTTAATAAACCAAGAATGTAATCCAGTTTGTAGACCACTTCCAAGTAAGCTCAATTATGAAGCTATGAATTCTGTTGAAGTATTTTTGAGCCGATATACAAATAAAAATAATAAATAATTATGGCTGTGTCTTAAAAGAGTTGAGGTATATTAAGTGTACTTTCACTTTAATGTTAATGCTCATAAAAAGTGTAAATTTTAAAGACAATTTAATAGGGTATGTAGATTTTGATTGGGCTGCAAGTGAATTCTATAGGAAAAGTATTACTGGATACATATTTAAGTTGTTTGGAAATTGTCTTATTTGTTGGAATACTCGGAAAACAAAATTCAGTGGCTGTATCTTCAACTGAAGCAGAATATATAGCTTTATTTGAAGCAGTTAGAGAAGCTTTATGGTTAAAATCATTAATGTCGAGTAAAAAATTTTTGTTGAGTGAACCAATAAAATTAATGGGGATAATCAAGGTTGCATTAGTATAGCTAATAATCCCACATGTCACAAAAGATCAAAACACATATATATAAAGTAACATTTTTCAAGAGTGCAAATTGAAAATAAACTAATAACCCTTGAGTATATTTCCACAGATAAGCAGGTGGGCAATATCCTGCCAAAGCCGTTGCCTGGGTTTCCCTTAATCTCGGAACTAATTTTTGATTTCATTTAAAAATTATTTCTCGACAAATGTGGATCATTACTATTGTCCCCAGAAGGCGCAACTTGTCTTATAAGAATATAATTGTAAAACTAACTCATGGTTTAATGTTGGAAACAGTCACCGACGCAGAACCGTAGACCGTTTCAGCTGATACGATCTGTTTTATTTTACTCACCACCGCTTCTACAGACCGTACGGTACGATATCCGCAAAAATTGGATTTTACCGTAGACACGAGTCAGCTGATTGCTCTATTGCAACGCAGGGTTGCCAGTCTCGCTACTGACTCAAAATCACAGTCGTATTCATTTATTTATAAATAGGTCGACTATTTTTAATAGTTGAATTTTAGTTTTAAGCTTTTGCATTATGAAATATTATAACTAAAAAACTAAATGTATGCAAAATCATGAGCAATTACAACATTGGTGAAATGAAAACAAAAGAGAACAACTGATTTCTACGTTGATTTACGTACGTAAATTTTGTTTAATACGGGCGGTAAGAAAGGAAGGGCGGAACGTCGGTGGCTGTTTCCAGCATAAGTTGAGTTCATTCGTATTGTAAACCTAGAAAGGACAAGTTGATGAGAAAAAAGGATAAGTGAAACTTAAAACTACTTATGTATGTATATATTTCATTTAATAAAAAGTGTATTGTTTTATCACATGAAATTTGAATATGTGGTAGTATAAACAACAGTTTTTTATTTCATTTCCTGTGAATAATTTTGTTTAAAAAGACGCTGAGGGAAATAAGCACTCTAGCAAATGTTAATCAATGTTAAAAATGTGCTACTTGTGATATTTTAATACATTTACCCCGAATACTTAAATAAATAAATATTTTACTCAGATATGTATAAACAAATGTTTCTTCCCAAGTTAGAAATTTTCCGCTCCACGCAGTAACCCTAACAACCTTTATCTAACAAATTAATATTTAATAGCAATTACAATTGTTTATAATATAAATACCTGCAAATATTTAATAGGATCAGCGCTGACAGTTTTATTACCCGCAACACATGCACTTAATAATGGCAAAGTTGTTGGAAATGGAAGAGGACTTAATAGTTGTTGCTGCGTTTTCTCTTGTTGTAGTTCTTGTAAAAGAAGTACTAATTCCATTCTGACAGATGCAAGACCACCACCACTAGCTCCGTGAAGTGAACAATAACTCAGCAACGTTCGTAAAAGTGTTTCGTTACCTTGAGAAAGAAACAAATGTTCAACAGTCACGCTTATACAAAACAAACTTACAAAATATAATATACCATTATAAAAGTATACATAACAGCTGGAAAATGATAAGTAATGCATATTTTTAGCTTTATTTAGTTTACAAAAAAAAAAAACAAGATTCATAAAGTTTTTGCAAATACATTTCTAATTGTAACAAGTAAGGAAGGGCAAAGTTCGGGATTCGGACCATACCCTCAGAAAGATTTTCAATCATTTACTTTACAGAGTTTATGATGTTAATATACATATATAAATGAAATTAAATGGGCAAGTTTTCTTAAAAAAAAAATGTATTTATCACTGGGTACAAAAGAAATCAGTCTTTGTCTGTAAGTCCTTTATAGAATCGCATTTGAACATGTGATGATCTTCAACAAAGTTGTTGTGCATGAGCCAAAGAAGGTTTCTGAGTTGGTCCGACCAATTTATTGATAAACAAAAGCAATTAAATGACTCCAAATGAATTGAATATTTATCTAATGTCTTTCTTTCATATTTATTTTAGTTGGTAACATAGCAACGCGAGCAGGGTACAGATAGTATATTACATTAAATTTCGTCCCTTTGTTTAAGTTTTTAACGCATTTGGATCAGGAATTTGTTATTCGGTAGAAAAAATTAGTGATATTTGTGTGTCTCTTCCCAGACCGCCTATATTTTAACTATAGTGATTTACATTAGTTAGGCTGATTTTAATATATATATAAATATAAGTACATACCTAACCTAGATATACACATCTTACATAAGCCGAAATGTTGTAATGGAACTAATTGATTATTGACCTATAGCATAAATAATTTAACAGCAGATATGATTTTATATCATGTTCACAATTTCATCGAATAAAAAATATTGAATTCAAATGTAATATTTTTTTACTCTCGCAATATGTTGCACAGAGTATAATAGCATTGTTCACCTGACGGTTCTTGTTAACATCTAAAACTAATCTAGATAGATATACATATTTAATACCAGTGATAGACATATGGTAACAATACTATACTACGAACGAATACCAATAATAAAAGCAACGGACCACGATGAAGACTTATACACAAAAACTCTTCAAAATATTTTGTTAAAATGACTTATTTAATAAAATGGAAAATAAGATATTTTTACACACTTTTATTTAAAGGCATGTACCGACTTATTTTATGGCGGGTTTTTAGGAAAGCTTTAACCAATTCTGTTTTTCATGAAGAAAATATTTCACTTTTACCCTTACTTTTTTAATTACACACGTGTAGTAAACACAATATTATAATACCTGTATTATGGTATTGTTACCCTGTCTATCACAGCTATACATGATCAGAATTACTGTTCGTGCAAGCAAGAACTAGAGATATCTTGGTGAAACTCGGACTATTACCATGGCCACAAATGCCGTTAAAGGAAAAATCATAACTTATTACAACTAGTCAGAAATTATCATACAAAACTTTAATTTGGTACAGAGTAATACACAATATTAAAAATTAAATAGATTTTGGTCTAAACCTTATTGTTCAAATATCTTTGAACATGCTTGTCATTGATATGCTGAGGTGTTACAAAAGGTATATACTCGTATAGACATAAACAAACATAAAATTATATGCATTTATATAGCAATGTTCATGCATATGTATGTATGTATAAATGTATGCCTTGATTTAAGATAAGAAACTTGTAAGAAAAAATACAGTCCACTAATCTTAAATATAATATGTATGTGCAAATATATTTAACAGACCTACATACATAAATAAACACATAAACATATATGCAGTTATATGCAACACGCATAAGTTTATATGAGGCACGAATGCATTTATATACTATCCACATGCACTCAACAATTAAAACTACAAACATATTTACTTAGCTTAAGATTTATTCATATAATAACTTGTTGACCTAAGATATACATTTAGGCAATTGATTACAAGTGTACATGTGCACTTGAAAACAACCTAATACCATGCAGCATAAACAATGGGCTACATACATACGGACTCATATACACACATGTCCCAACCTATGGAACATAAAACAAAGTTTACAAAAGTGGTTAAAGGCCGCAATTGAAGGAAAAAGCAGAGTGCAAACGCAACTAGCAAACCGGTACTAATCCAATCGACAGAAAAGTCGTACAAGCGGTGAGTGCTATTTCTATTTAAAAATATTTATTTATTTCGGGCAAAGGTCCGCACAAAAGGGAATACGCAAAGATCGCTCTCTCAGCTGCTCATATTGCCGTTTCCCTTTTTTTAATTATTTTCACACCTTCTTGAAACCCACAGTCCACATTGAGAGAAATTCCTGAAGCCTGGTCCTGAGGAATCTTTGCTCAACACCAGCGCTAGAGGATTTCTGTTTATGTAGCTACAAAAATGTCAACTAAAGCGAAAACAGCAAATACCATAGTCGACACCAAGGAGAAAGGTGAAATGGCTGAAATTAGTCGATTTACACGGAGCAGCAAAACTGTCCGATCACCCGAGCTACGGGTGATAACGCCCGGCACACAATCGGTCAACGCTGCAACGCCAACTGCGCTTGATATGATCCCTTCCAAGAAACCAATGCGAACAGCTGATAACTTGATCGTAGTCAATCTGACATCAACACAAAGCGACACTAAAACCGACCCCATTATAACATGAGCGAAGGAGAAAACTCGTTCACTGCATTGCGAGTGCTCATAGATGAACTAATCTCTCTTACACATGGCCAAAAACAAAGCCATGTGAACCAGAATATGAAAAATATGATATATAGGATATCGCAGCTACAAAAACAAACACTACCTAAATTCAAAGAGGCAACAACCCAGTCAATCATTCAGCCGAAAAGAGGCCGCACTATGCACACTGATGAACCAATAGCAGATGAGCACACTCAGCAACAAACTAAACGAACATGCACACTCGCCAAAAACTCGCGCAAACACATGTTTGATTGGCCAAGCTAAGCGATCAATAATAACAAATGACCGCGCTATGCCTCCACTTTTGAAGCCGCTGTAACCCCACCATCAACGATGATATTAATTTCTAAGAATGGAAATCTTACTTATGCCGAAATACTTAGGAAAATCAAGTCCGATTCTATTCTCAACGAATTCGAAAAGAAAGTTATCCGAATTCGTAAAACACAAGGCGGTAAAATGTTGCTGCAACTAAGTGGTTCAGCAATGTCAGCCGACTCGCAGCAAACAATGAGGAAATGCCTTGGCGACCAGGCAAATATAAAAGTTCTGACCCAGGAGAAACTTATATAGTGTAAAGACTTGGACGAAATTACAACCAAGGAAGAAGTACTTTATACTCTACAGAGAGAGTTGGGCAACAACAATCTGACGAGATCAGCTATTAAGAGCCTAAGAAAGTCCTACAGAGACACTCAAACAGCGCTTATTAAACTCCCAGTTGAGAATGCCAGGAAACTGCTTCAATCCAAGAAATTAAAAGTAGTACAGGCAGACACAACGGTGCTACAGATGCCTCGATTATGGCCACACAGCGAAAAGCTGCGAAAACGAGGACAGGTCTAAACTATGTAGAAGATATGTTGAGGGTGAACACTAGGCTACGGGCTGTACCAATAAGCCAAAATGCTTGCTTTGCTTGAAAGCAGGCTCTAGTGAAACTGATCACTTTACTAGGAGCCTCAGACGCCCGGTATACAATAAAGCGGCTCAAACTCAAAAATTAATATGAGGTGATTACAACTTAACCTAAACCACTGTCAAGTAGCACATGACCTATTAAAACAGGCAGTTCTTGAGAAGCAGATCGATGTGGCCTTAGTTTAAGAACATCATCGACCGTCTAGTGACTGATGCCAGAAGTAAAACTAATCTAGTAATATCCGGCGACTTTAATGCCTGGGCTATTGAATGGGGATCCAAAAGAACTAATAGTAGGGGTAAAGCCTTACTAGCGCCTTTGCTTCCCTTGACCTTGTGCTCTTAAACATCAACCAACCCAGATTCAACAAAGATGGGCGGCAGTCAGTAATAGATCTGACTTTCGTCAAATCAAATCTTGTCCGTAGATCTCAATAGAAAATGAGTGATCATTATACTTTTAGCGATCACTATGCCATTATATATGAAATAAATGTCGTACACATACGGCAGAGTGAACCGACCCTAGTAAGATGTTCCTGGCGAACTAAAAAGTTCGACCCTGACCTCTTTGAGGAGACCTTTAAGCCCACTGCTTTACACGAGAACCCGCTTGTGGCTAATAGTTCCGCCTCAATAATTATGACCCATCTTAAAAAAGCATGTGACGCATGAATGTCCAAACATACACGACGCAATCATCACCCTCCAGTATATTGGTGGAATGACACAATTGACAAGGCCCCTCCAAAGACTTTTCAAGGACAAGGGGAAGCTATTAAAACAGTCTATTAAGAAAAGCAAACGAGAATGCTTTCTGAAATTATGCGACGACGTTGAAGACAATGCCTGGGAGATACCATATAAGGTGGTAATGGCAAAACTCCGTTTTCGTGGGCAAATGCCGACCTCCCCCTCATTGCTGGAAAGAATAGTATCGGTACTCTTCCCAAACCGACCAATGCATTTTTAACTTCATCAAGCGCACATATGTAGAAGTCCCAGATATACCGTCTGTTTCGAACGAAGAGGTCCGAGAAGCATGTGACCGGTTAAACCCATCTAAAGCCCCAGGCCCAGACGGAATTCCTCATATAGCGCTGAAAACAGCGATAATTAAGAATACAGATCCCTTTCGAATTATGTATGACACATGCATTAAAGAAGGTTACTTCCTTAAGCTATGTAAAAAGCAACATCTAATATTACTGCCACAACCAAACAAGCCTTTTATAGACCTGTCCCATTTCCGGCCACTGTGCATGTTGGACTCCGCTGGAAAAATCCTTGAGCGAATTATATACCGACGCTTAAACAAAGCAATGTTGTTGTTGTAGCGGCAGA